TAGGGTTTGTTGCATAAACTTCTTCTTCACATGAACTCACATGAACTCATATGAACTTACATAAAAACACATGAACTCACATGAACTTACATGAACTCACATGAACTTACATANCAAGGAGGAAAGACGTGTAGGGTTTGTTGCATAAACTTCTTCTTCACATGAACTCACATGAACTCATATGAACTTACATAAAAACACATGAACTCACATGAACTTACATGAACTCACATGAACTTACATAAAAACACATGAACGCACGCGTGCACGCACCACCATGAGGGGGCGACGCAGTATACAACAGGGGTACCTTGCACATCCTGGAAATACATTCCACGTACCACACAATCCTACAACCACTTGGCATTGCTACAAGTATATCTATCACGCGCTTATTTCAGTCCACCGCGTTATCTTTATTCGAGCGAAGCGAGATTTCTAATCTCGCCTGAGGTCTCACCGCAATAATAGGCTCCATGCAGAAAAAAATAGTTTGTGCGTGTGTTCGTTTAAACTAGGTTTGAGAGTACAGCAGTACATTACTTGGTATTAAAGGGGGGGGGTCAGCAGACAGAACACAGAACACACGATGTTGTTGCAGTGCAGACAGAACACGCGCTCAGCGGGCACGGCGACCCACGCACACCGGTCAGAGCACACCGGGCAGAGCGGACACAGCCACAGCGAGCGACAAAAAAGCCAGCATGGCTATTGCATGAATAGACTTCCGTTGCGGTCGATTGACCCGAACTCTCTCCGTGAGGCGGAGGCGCACACAGACTCACGGCGCAGACAAAGCCACGGGGAGAGGGAGTCCCAAGGCAGCCCACAGCTTGACAGGGCGAGAGCTGCTGCTCGTCAGAGGACTGCCGCCAGGCGTGCGACGGAGACCGATGGAGCACGGGCAGAAAGGTGCGTTGCGTGTGGGTGTGGGCGGCGATTGCCCCAGGAAATTTAATTAACCGCAGAGTTCAAATACACAAGGGCCTTTTTTTTCTTCCGCGCACCCAGCAGTAGTGCTGCTGTACCCCACACCCACAACACATCGAACGCACGGCACACACGCAGGCTGCGGGCCAACCGAGAGAGAGAGGCTGCGAGGCGCCAGCGGCAGACACCACCGCAGCTGGCGGCTAACCGAGAGAGAGAGGCTGCGAGGCGCCAGCAGCAGACACCACAAGCGACAGAGGCCAGGTGTGTGTGCATACAAAAAGCTTGTTGGTGCCCAGCATTTTTAAACTTGTGCAGACATTTTTTCGCCGCATCGTCAACTTGGCATCGTCCACACGCATCACGCTGCCTCTGCAGATTAGACTAACCTCACGGACCCCACTTCGCAGGCGTGCAGCGGCTAGAGAACGGGCAGCAGCGGCCAGAGATGCCGAGAGGGCAAGGCGAGAGAGCGAGGCTCATGTCAAGCGGAGAGACCTTGCGGAGTTTGACGCTGCTAGGCCGCTAGAAAAGTTGGGTTGGGCCAGAGACGACATGCAAACCACCTTCCAGCAGCCCATGAGTGCCCGGAGGATGCATGTGTGCACTGTGTGCTCTGAGCGTTGGGACTCCGCAGAGGACGGACCGGAGGACGGAGGCGTCTATAGGTGGGTGGTCTTTCGTGTTCAAACGTCTCGGCATGTCGCAACTTGTAACATCTTTCAAAACAAAAAAAACGATATTCGGAGCAAAAAACAATTTAGGTATGTACGGTGGATAACACACGACCGGGAAAAGAAATATGGAAAAAATTGCCTTAGAGAGGGCTCGAGCTCGATCCGGTTTCATCGACTTTTTGCGTGCGTGCCTCACATGACAGCGAGTTTGTGTGTGTCCTGACGAACGTCACGTTACCCTTCTATACCCCACCGCCTGCCGCCCCCACACCCGCTTGTTGGTACAGTTGTCCGCGGTGCAAGAAGGACAAGAAGAGTCAAGTTGGGCTGGTGAACGGCATTAGAGGGGAAGTCGTCGAGTTGGTGTATGCTGAAAATGCGCCCCCGCCGAAGCTCCCCCTATACGTTGTCGTCAACTTCGAAGGGTACTCGGGGGGGGACTGGTCGTCTCAGGAGAGGTATAGAGGTTGTGTCCCCATTTCTCCCGTCGACACCATGTGGCAGGACGGGGGGACGCAGGTCCGGACGCAGCTGCCCCTTAGGCTCTGCTGGGCAATCACGATGCACAAGTCACAGGGGCAGACTTTAGCCAAGGCCGTCATAGACTTGGGGCCCAAGGAGGCCTGTACGGGGCTTACTTTCGTCTGTCTCAGTAGGGCGAAGAGACTTGTGGACCTCATCGTAGAGCCCATGAGTTTCGACAGGATAGGTAACCTTGGAAACTCATCGACGATGAAGGGTAGGCTGCAGGAAGAGGTTAGGCTTGGGGAGTTAGCACGGACTACGAGGGTCAGGTACACGGACATGGGCGTCTTCGGCGCCGTCGCGGGTAACCAATGAAGTCAATTGCAAAAAAAAACAATTTCTTCCACCTCCCGCGGACGCACACGTCTGATGACAGTTACATCTGTCAGCTGTCGCTCGTTGTAGCGACAGCTATCCTATCTTCTAGGGTTATCGGGTTGCTTTGGGAAATTCCCACGTTGAAGTTTAGTCGCGTTGCGTGCAGTTCTGCAAAAACTCTTGAAGCTTTTATGCTGCATACCGCACCAAACGTCCGCCGAACCCGCCACCCATGCATAATGCGAGACCTGACGTTCTTACCCAACAACTTTTGTGTTGCCGAAACCCCCACTTGTTCTTGTAGTGGGTTCAAGGTTGGAAGGCTAACCGAGGATGACTTCAGGGAACTCGACGGGGCGGCGAGCGCCACTGGTCGCGTCGTTCGTAGCGTTGCCGCACTCGTCGGACGACAGAACTGGACTCGAGATTTCAAGGAGTGAGTAGTGAGGTTGTTCATGCCGCGGAGGAGTTGCGTTAGAAGAAACGCACTTGTTGATGGAGGCTTGTTAATGCTGTTTAACAAACCACTTGTATCTGCCGATTGTCCCTTTTCGCATCCCAGTTTCATCCGCAGGGTTACGGCGTACGAGCCGTACTCACAGTTCATCTCACACCACCACGCACTTGACGAAGCGTGTACGATCCACGCGAGGAGCTTGCCGGACGGGATGCTACCGCACACGCCTCTCAATCAATGAGTTCCTGCTTAGTCGACCGTGGCAACCGATATTACAGGTAGGTTATCGGCGTCCGGTAGACTAAGTCACTAGATAATACATTTTTGCGCTCGATCATCCTAAAATCATGGAAACCCGCACCGTAGGTTATCGTCCACGAATAACCTAACTGGTCGATCCGCCGAGGATTCCACGCCTATTTCGCGATCGTCATGTTGGAAACCTCACGAACGACGCCCTCCACCCCACGTCAAAAATGATGTTTTTGAATTGAATCAGGAGATGAAGAAGTACGAGGTTATGGAGTCGTTCCCCGACACCCTCATCAGCGAGGAGAAGCGGTTAAGAGAGGGTGTCGCGGCGAAGGTAGAAGAGTTCAATCAGAAGATTCACAAGCGCCAACGCTGCTACTCCGCGGATGAAGCGTCGGAGGTCGGACAGCAGTGCAAGGAGAAGATTCACAAGGAGGGTCAACGCGCAGCCACGACGAAAGCCTCTGATGCCTTCGAGCGCAAGGATCCAGGAGGAGACAAACTGAGTAGTAGCTCTTTTCCTCGACCTTTATGCTGACGTTTTTGGTGTGTAGCCAGATTCCTCGCCGTCAGGTTCGTTGATCCTTCGCTGATGCAGAGGGGACATGAATACCGTACTTCCGTTGGGCATCGTGGCGCAGGTCCTGGTACGGGTGATGGTGGTGCCAAATCTTGGTTCATGACACCACTCATTGCCGATGCGACTGGAGGCTCCAGTGCAAAGCGATTCCACGCCAGTCCATCAGTATACTGCTGCTGCTGCTACAACCTTCCACCACGCTACTGAGCGTGCGTGGTGGAAGTGGTGATCTCACACGAATTGGCCAAGGGAGATGTGTGTGTCGGTTTGTCTGCTGCTGCATGTGTGTGTCGGTTTGGTTCTGCTGCTGCTGCTGGGTTTTTTGTTACCTCGTCCACACCGAGTGGCCAACTTTGGCACGTGTTCATACCAGCTACCACGCATTTCCTCCTTTACAGCTCGCGGCTTTCACTATCTGNACCGAGTGGCCAACTTTGGCACGTGTTCAGACCAGCTACCACGCATCTCCTCCTCTACAGCTCGCGGCTTTCACTATCTGCATATCACAGAGGGTGTTCGCGTGTGGTTTGCAGACCACGACAGGGCGTAGTGAGGAGGGGCTCGCGATCGGCGACAACTCGCGTCTAGTTCAAATATTCTGCTGCTGCTGTGTTCTGAGTGATGGAGCATTTTTTTCTACTTCTTTGTTAACACATACGGAGTGCTGACAACAACGATTCGCAGACAACAACATCGCATCAACAACATTTCGGGTGTGTGTACCAAAACAAAAGCAGCACATATTCACGGGGGGCGCACGACCCAGCCTACTGCAGGTACTTTCCGCAGCACGGGTTATGCTGTTGTGATGGTGCGCGCGGAAAAAACTCTCCCCACTCGGGGTCTAGTACTCACATCAAAATCGGAAAAAATATGGTCTGGGGAATTCCGAGAGCTGTCGAAGTCTGGTCTCAGAATTAATTGTGTTCTGATAAAAAGACACCAGGAAACAGAGATCCGAGATTTCCGATCATTTGCTAATAATAAACAAATAACGAGAAGAAAATGATCGGTTTCCACAGGGACAGGCGCCTGGAGACAGGGCGTTTCCCGGTACTTTCATTTTTCGGAACAACCCCCCCACCCCCGAGAAAAAAAAATGCTGACATAAATAAGGAGACATTAGTGCAGGTCGGAATTATGGACAAATAGTCCCGGACGGACTATATATATATTTAGACTATTTATGTAATACATATATATCATCACTGCTGCTGTGGTCCCGGCGGAGACCAAAAAAAGCTACCCTGATTGGCTTTTTCCTTCCACATAATATCGCGAAGAGTTTCCTGAACCTCCCCCCGCGGCTCGGCTCTACGTACTACGTACGGCTGGCTCTGACTGTTGAGTTTCATGAGCAAACGAATGAACGGTCTTCGAAAGAAGAAGGTACTGTTTTACTGCGTCTCACAGTACTCGCCACCCCTTCCCTTCGCGTACAAATAAATACAGATAGATAGCCCGCAGTTAAGAAAAATTCTGTTGATTGAGAAAATAGACTCAATCAAGTTTGTACGAAAAATATGAAATCGGCTTGCCAAGGCCAATCAACAGAAGAAATGCCATTTACGAAATGGACGGCTTGGGCCGGTACTTCCACCCAAAAGAAGGGATTGGAGATAAAAGCATGCCTCCATGGACCCCAGGGATGGTGAGCTATCGTCCCCTGAATTTCACGGACGGAACCCCGCTTCAAGGACGCTTTTCTTGGAAAAAACATGTATGTGCGTCCTTCAGTGAAAAGCGAGGTCGACTGCAAACACGTCCGAAACATCAACGGACAGGAGGAGAACAACAACAACAGCAGTCTTTATGATTATAGTCATATATATACCATTGGTTGTGTGTATATATGATGATACATACAGCCATGTATGGTCCGTTTCCGGAAAAATTCACAATAATATTTTCCCCTGCACAATGGTGCACTTTTCTCGGGGTGGGGGTACTTATTCCGAAATCTATCTGCAAATACCGCGTAAATCGACGTTTCAAGGCGCATCTTCGTACGGAGATTTTTGTTTTTTTTTCGTCCTTCGCTCGATATGTTCAGATATTCAAGAAATCTTGCTTACTTTCTGGAGGGCGGTGTTTTTTGCAGACACACAACAATCTGAGACCGGATTTGGACAGCTCTCGTGATTTGCCACCGATGATTTCTTTCCGATTTCCAATTTGACAAAAAATATCGGAGTTATGAGCAAAAAAACGGATATTGGAGGGTATTTTGCTTAGTTTCTTGGGGACAATCCAACCGTACGATTCAAAAATAAAGTGCTGCAATCGATTCCTCTCGTGATTTCCCACCGATGATTTTTTTCCGATTTAAAAAAAAAACTCGGGTTTCGGAGATATTTCGGGTGGTTTCACACGCCCTCGGGGAATTTTTTCCCGCCACACACACACCAGAGGACACACACACACACACCCTTTACGCACGCAACGAAAGACGCACACGCGCTCCGGGCACATGGGTCGCCCAAAGGGTAAGCGCAAGCTGCCAAGGAACGCCGACGGCACGATTCGGAAGGCCCCTTCGCCCCCTGCGGACCCTGCTGTAGGCAACGACTCTCCTCCCTCTTCCGACCATGAAGGCGCCAATATTTCTCCCATGCACACCAACGACCACGACGACGACTGGCGCGATGAGGATGCGGGTGGCGAGCCAGGTCGCGGGCAGGCGAAACTGCCGTTCGGTTCTGCGGTTCGCTCTGCAGCGAGCGCTGCGGTGTCTGCAGCAGCTCGCACAGCAATGGCGGTGGCGCCCGAAGTCGCGCCGCCTGCGCGAAAAAACGCGGTGCAACCTCTCCACCGGTTGACGCAGCATCGCCACAGGCGAGCGCGGTGGAGCAAGGAGGACGCTGGGATGGCGGGGAGCTTGGCAGCATGGCTGAAGCCCCCAGCTGATGTAACGTGTAAATAATGTAAATATGGATTGACAACGGTTTAACTGATGTTCTGAAGGCATATACGCCGTGTAGTAGAGAAGGGAGGGGTTAAGGGGGGGTCGTGTTGTACTTTGGGGGCTCCGTGGGTTCATGAGGGGGTGGGGGGTGGGGGCTCCTTGGGTCATTTTGGTCAAAAATGTCGCATCTCACCCAATCAATCACCAAAAACTCATCGGATATCGACGAAGCTCGACGCCGCGGTCACGCCCAAAGTTGTTTCACTTTCCAAATCGTATTTTTTCGAAAGATTGCGCGAAAAAAAATCAAGATTTGTAGAGTTGTGAATCGGTACGAAAAAACGATATATTTTACATCGGCTGCGCAGCAGCCGATATAACGATATTTTCTCCGATATATCGCCTACGGCCGAGCGCAGCGAGCCGTGATGGGGGCGAGCGAAGCGAGCCCCCCCATCGGCCCCCCCCGGCTGGTGAGGGGGCCTCGCCGGAGGCGCCGCCGGAGGCAGAAAATTTGGTGCATTTTCCTTTCATTTCCCGTCAAAATGGGCCCAAATGCGGCATCAAAAAGGGCTTGACTTCAGCTGCAAACATCGCACGGAATGTAGAAAAAAAAAAAAAAGATTAAGATTGATGTATTGTCGCGTATCCTCAGCAGTACCCTCCTTCGGTCTCTCCCTGTGTCTACTTCCCGGTTGGTTCTGGACATGGTGCTGTTGTCTGCTGTTTCTGCGCTGCTGTGCTGTGTGTGTGTGGCGTACAGGGGCTCCGTACTGCTGCGCATACCCTAAATTTGATTCACGGAGCCCCTAAGAAAACATCGGTCGGAACATCGGCACGAATTTTCGATACCGATATCGATATATATCGGACGATATATATCGTGTACATCGTTCCGATTCACAACTCTAAAGATTTGTGAATATTTGCCCGAACGGACCATATATATGTGTTTTTATTATTAGCATCGACCGCGCTAACGCCATGTTTGTGTGTGTGCGTTTTCGTCCTATTTATCATGGCGACATTCCCACCGTTTTTCGTGGTGGTGAGACGTGTACTACACCATTCAGCGTATGTAGAGTAAGTATTACACTTTTCATTCAGTGTATTTTTTTCGTACAACCAAAAAAACCATCCAGGGTCACACAGGAGGGGGTAAACACCAGGCAGGGCTTCTTTCTTCGTTTTCATTCATACTTGAAGTTTTATTTTCATGCCCCACCTTCCTCCTGCGGTGCGTGCTGAAGTTTATTTTTATCGCGAGAAGGGCCCAGCCGTCCCTTTCCCTCGTCCACGGTCCTAACAACGTCGAAGTTTGGTACTCACGAGTGCTTGTCAGCTATAGTCTATTTCGCTTTCACCCGCACATTTCGTTAATTTTTCACCCCATCCATGGGGATTCGATCTCACTACCTCAGCGACTAGCGGATTACGAGGATACACTAGACCACCGTGGCAACCAGTCTATCTATACGTTACCCCAGCAGTATCTTCAGATCTTGGCACAGATATAGATAAATGGATGCAAATGCGCCATGGGAACCGGATGGGTTGAAAAGACCGCCGTGTGGGGAGAATCCCTGCCAGTTAAACTTGGCATGCGTCGCCTTTGGTTCTGACTTGTTTGAGGCGTTCGGTATTGGATGCCGCGCTATCAAAGAGGGTTGTGGGTGCAGAAGCCCACGCTACTATTAGTGGCTCGTGGGGAACGGGTCATGCGGAATTTGTTCAAAGAGCCAAAAAAATACTTCAGTATAGTGCTGGCTCTCTCTCTCTCTCTCTCTCTCTGTCTCTTTCTCTCCCTCCCCTGCGATACACCTACAATCTCCCTCTTTGTAACAACAACAAGCAGGCGTGATCTTCAACCACCACCACCACCACCACCCACCACTCTCTTTCTGACGCCAGCAAGTTGCTGTTGTCGCTGTTGGTGATGGCGACGGCAAACGGGGATTCGTCCAAAAGCATCATCAAGGAGGATGGGGAGCCACGGGCAGTAAAGAACAAGGTGAGGATGAGGACGCAGCCGTAGATGATGATGATGATTATGAAGCCGAAAATGGGAGCTGCTTTTCATTCCGGGTTGGTTCTTGTCTCTACAAGCGAGAGGCGGGATCGTGAGCAGGTGCTATAAGCTAGGTGATGATGAGTTGCCGTACGCCGCTGTCGCTTCCCCTGTCCTCCCCGCCCCCCGGTAGGGGACGCTGGAGTTCGCGCTGCGACCGTACCGCATCCCGGCGGAGGTCCTCCGAGAGAAGCACGAGGCGGTGCTGGGGATGATCACCATCTTTTTGGGTGAGTTTGAGAGGGCTGGCAGGCACGCAAGCTTGGGAACAGGTTCACGAGACCTTGCTACATAACTTGTCTCTCACCCTACAGTTATGACTAGCCTTGCTCACACCAGCGAGTTCCTCTCTCATGGTTGCTAAGCTTCCCCAACACCCCCGATGCGCTGGATGATCTGACACCACACGCACGTCGTTGTGTTTTTAATTCGGATTAATTTTTTGTTCATGTTCCCACCGAAGACTGTACCCTTTGCGACCACGCTCTCTCTCCCCTGCGATGTTTGTCGAGACAAAAAGGGGGCGTGTCTTATCCGGGGCAGAAAGCTGGCCAGCTTTTCATCCGCGCTTGTGTGTCATCAGAAGTCGATCCACCCCTACACTCCAGCTAGCTCGGGGTTCTTTTTTCGCAGTGTCAAGAAGTCATCACGCACGACGCTCGCGGGTGCTCGCCTTGTTTTGGTCATTTTGGTCACACTTAATCGTCATCATATCAGCCCGCTTCCTCTTGTGTGATGTTCAACCAATGCACCAAAAAACACTGGTGCTTGTGTGGACGATGAGATGCGTCGAATCGACAGCAAGCGCCCGGGCGTGCTGGTTTTCCCCCGATTAGCTTTGCAAGGGTTGTGTTTTGTGGCTTGTCATGGATCATTCATCACCTGTGCTGCTGCAGCAACAACCAGCTCTTTAAAGAAAAAACATCTGTTCTTCGGTGACGGAGACAACGCTGCTGCGGCCTTGTGACCAACAATACATAACGCACACACACAGCAGCCACTTCTCCCGTGATTCGCCGGCTTGAAGTCTTCACTGGTCGGCAAATATCACCATCCATCTACATATCTATGCATATATACGTTCCCTCGTTTCCCCAACGCGTTTACTGGTTGACGAAGGTTGACCCGAAACAAAAGCAAGACTTGGTCTCTTTTAAACAAACTCTGCGATGACGTCGCGAATTATGCGAGATTGTTTGTAGCAACGTGGCAACTGCACACCACAGCAGCAGCAGCACCAGCAGCAGCACCAGCACCAGCGTGTGCTACAACTAGCAGGCATGGCAACCTGGATGTGGCGGTGGGTGGAGCCGCTCGTGTCCGTGGAGGTTGTCTTGCCCATTTGCTCGGCGGCAGAGCTGCATTGCAGGCCAACCTCCTTACGGCACTGATAAACAACAGGGGTGCTCTTGGCACCTAACACGCATACGCGGCCGCCCCGGTGGTCTAGTGGGTAAGCTCGCAGTCTGCTACGGGCCAAGTCATGGGTTCGACTCTCGGCAGGGCGAGTTTTTTTCTCACCAAATATATCCTGTTGCAGGTTGAAAGCGACGCCCTGCAAAGGTCGTTGTTATTAAACCATGATCGACTTCGTAAGTCGCGAGGGAAGGGATTGCTGTACCCTTCTCGCGATAAAAATACCTCAGGCAGGAACCGCAGGAGGGGGTCCAGCCCCCCCCCCGCTTATGTGACCCCGGTAGGGTCATCTGGCTAGTAGAAGTGGAGGATAGGGGCCAGAGGGGCAGACGACAGAGTCCAATGATGGGACAAAAAAAAATATAGAGAGATATAGAGATATAGAGATACATTTATTTCAACCGACTATCTAGTTGACTATCTAGTTACAAGTAGGTTAACTGCTGGTTACCGTACTTAGTAATATTGTTTTTGTCTTCAAACCCTGTTGGGTCTACAGGCGTCCTCACTGATTATTGATTGATCGNATAAAAATACCTCAGGCAGGAACCGCAGGAGGGGGTCCAGCCCCCCCCCCGCTTATGTGACCCCGGTAGGGTCATCTGGCTAGTAGAAGTGGAGGATAGGGGCCAGAGGGGCAGACGACAGAGTCCAATGATGGGACAAAAAAAAATATAGAGAGATATAGAGATATAGAGATACATTTATTTCAACCGACTATCTAGTTGACTATCTAGTTACAAGTAGGTTAACTGCTGGTTACCGTACTTAGTAATATTGTTTTTGTCTTCAAACCCTGTTGGGTCTACAGGCGTCCTCACTGATTATTGATTGATCGCTTGCAAATGATGGTGTCGTGGCATGCCATGGAGTCGTTGCCCTGTATCCCTCCACGCCAGGTGTTGGCAAGTCAATAGGTAGATGTGTCTATTATTCGCATCAACCGCGCTACCCGGTTACCAATGCAAAGACGTCGCAGCAGTCCCAGCGGGTAATATCAGGTCCCTGGCCAAAATTCGAAAAATGTACACTGCTCTATTAAATGCAAATGCCACCATGAATCTCCCGCCATATCCTCTCATAGAGGCACACATCATTAGCTCCACATACATGCGCTCGCCCGAATCTAGGAAGCCACTCGAGGAAAGACAGGATGACAGCGAATAGGGGCACTTCAAGCCCAACCAGGCCAGCAGTCATGGTACACTCCCAAGATCCAGCAGTCATCGTGTCAGCAGCTATACTATACAGCAGCAGTACAGACGAGTCCAACATAGTAACACGTACACTATCATCATAGCCCTACACATTCCCTCGCCCGAACCTAGAGAGCCACTAATGCAAAGGTAGGTGTGTGCTGTGGTGTGCCTGCGTGCTTGTGGGAATTGTGAGAAAATCACAGGAGCTGTGGTGAACCGGCAGGGCTCATATTGGGGAGGGGACAGAGAAGTACAGAAATACAAGAACCAGCTATGGGTCTACAAGCCCTCTCACTGATCGTTTTCACTAATCATTTGAATATGCTGAAAATAGACTAGTTTAGGCTGCTTGACGACTGATCTTTTCGAGGGTTACAAGCCTAACCTGCCCTACCGGCCGCACCGCTACCCACTCATTAACCCGTCCATGACCCTGTATGTGCCCACCGTCCTGTCGCGGGCAGCATTCACGACCTATGGGTGGAGATAGCTGTTCCGTCTGCAAAAGTCCACACGGCTATTTCTGCTGTACAGCAGTGTAGGCTCTCGGTACCAACCATAAAGATCCACCCCGACTCCTGTCGGAGCAAATAACCCGCAGAGTAAAGATCCATCCAGAGTAGAATGATGAGTCATCGTCCGTCGAAGGTTCTTTACTCCCCTCGTATGTGTGTAAGTATAAGAAGATACGAACATCCTCGCTTCCACATAGACCCAACGGGGTTAAAAACCGTCCCGTTCTCCCTGCTAGTTCGGTATTATTAATAATTTTGAGCTCTTGGAATTTATTCATGCTCATCATCGTCGAGTTCATCCCCTGCACGAAGGGACGCAGAAGTGCTATGCATACTTCTCTAAGCTCGTCGTGCATCGTTCTGCCGCTGTCGTATACTGCACAGCTGTTGCTGTCCTCGTTGCCATTGCCTTTATGGATGTCTTGGGAGGGCCTCCTTTGAAACAGTTGAATTGTATGGGCTGAGGTGCCCCCCGCTACGCCCCTGCCCCACCCAAATCAGTGGCCTTCTCAGGGTTTTTCTACACTATTATTCTAATACTAGTACATTTTGGATGAAGAGTAAGAATGCAATTGGGTTAGGCCGAGCCCCCTACCCAACGGTCTGCAGTCTGCAGGTGGTAAACTGTTTGAGTTCTCCAGATTTTCGGGAAAAGAGATGCAACTGTGAGTCGACCCCGCTTTAAGGACACACCACGTTTTCCCAAAAAAAGTGTCTTTAACGCGGGGAAGTGTCTTTAAAATTCCGGGGGCGCTAACGCACCATCCCCGGGGCCAATGAAGGCGAAACATATGTCAAAAGGTGCGCATTCGCAGCAGACAGGCGACCACAAGAGGTGTTGGTTGAAACCTACGACACAAGGTGATTTGGAGGTTGCAACCACTGCTGCTATTGTGCTGCAATACATACTTGCATACCATCGTTTGAATTTCCCCGTACTGTACCACCAAAACGCTGAAAGCGATGGTGTTCTACGACCTACGCATCGCACATGTACACGACGGTAGTGCGCCGGTGTTGATATGGGCTTCATTATTTGCTTTCATGATATTTTTTAGGCGTTGTCCTCCCCGTGAATATCTTGCCCAAGATCTCGCTACCGCACCTGAGAAATATCGAAGGTTGTGAAACGACACTAGGAAAATGTAGGTTACGCAGAAACACAGAGACCAAAAATGTCGGTGAAGCACAGCGACAAAGAGGACACCGCGCTCCCAAAAGGTCAAAACGAGGCACAACACAACACAAACGCTAAATTCAACCTCACGAGACTTCACCCAAGGCAGCAGCCGAACCGCTAGTAGATGGAATGAATCTTTCCATACACCCGCACGCAGTGTGCGGCTGCAGCAGACCGCTGTTGATGATCCAGGATCAACAGGTGCTGCAGCACATTTTCTGGGGGGGGTCGAATGGTGGAAAACCCTACCCCCCCTACTTTTTCACATCTGCGGGGCACCCTGTTCTGAGATTTTTGTTTCCTTAAAGCGGGGAGTGTCTTTAAACATAGTGTCTTAAAAGCGGGGACGACTGTACCGACATATCGAGATACCGTACTAGTCGGAGAGATGGCACCGGTCGAGGAAATGGCGTGGGCACTACTGGAGTGGAAATGACGCCGGGGTGCGCTAAAATGTGCAAGAACGACATGATTTTTAAATCGATGTACCCACCGCGGTCGGTGAGATCGCACCAATCTCGCCTTCTCCCAGATCTAAGATTCAGCTCCTTCTCAGCTGTCAAGGTTGAGGTTCTTTTTTTGTTTTTTTTCAGCTGCCAAGATTGAGCTCCTTTTCAGCTGCAAGAATGAGGTACATTGTGCGTAGTACCTGTTACATGTGGGGACGGTGTCAGCGGAGCGTCACTCCTGTACATCTGTACGTACGCATGGTCGCGGTTCACGCGGGATGCCAGCTTTTTTTTTTTGGTTGGTGCGGAAGTTGCTAACCGTACCCTCAACCAAACACACAACGCACGAGCCGCATCCTACCCCCGCCTTACACAACACGAAACTATTGTATGCTGCGTACGTACGATATCCGTAGAGGAATACCGAAACGAAAGCGGGAGCCCGACCATGAGTTCTGGGGGGGGGAGGTGTACTCATAGTCGTGCATGCCGTAGTCGTTATACCATTGACCTCGCATCCCTACAAAGCCGGGACCGGGGGGCGCGCATTAAACACGCTGTGTATATTTCATCGGGGATCGCACCGGTCGGAGAGATCGCACCGGGGTGCCTTGAAAAATCTAAACGAAATTTTTTACTTGCATTTCCGCACCGGGGTCGGAGAGATGGCACGGGGGGGGGTGTACTC